CAGGGTCCTGGGATCGAGCCCCGCATCGGGCTCCCTGCTCCGCGGGAAGCCTGCTTCTCCCTCTCCCACTCTCCCTGCTTGTGTTCCCTCTCTCGTTGTGTCTCTCTCTGTCAAATAAATAAATAAAATATTCTTTTTAAAAAGAAATTTGACTAGAAAGGGAAAGATCAGAGGATGGGCTAGTTCAAAGATTAGTTATGGAGTTACTAGCCAGACCTGACATGATGAAGGGTAGAAGCAACATTTTTTAAAGGAGCCATTTTAGTAGAAGGATTCAGTGGCATTCAAGCATCAGGTGTAGGGGATAAATGAGAGGAGAGAGGAGTATAGATGACTCCACAATGGAGTATGTATCTGGGTGGAAACAGAAGTTTGTGAGAGCGTCAGAGATCAATATAGTTTTAGATGTGCTAATTGGGCTCAGTGGCTTTTATGACATAATCCTCTCTTAGAGTGAGAGATTAGGGATGATGGATATATGTGATGGGTTGCCTCATGAATTCCCAAGAAGATGAGTAGTGAATGAGCTTGTAGAGCACCCATATTTGGGGCACTGGAGAGAGGAAGAGAAACCACCCAGGGAGCAGGGATAATAAAAAACAGTTGTACTGTGCTAAGCCCTGTGCATGTTTTCCCATGAAATCTGCTCAGTGCCCTAGGAAAAAATTTCTGTTACTGTCCCCAGGCTCAGAGAAGCTAACCAACTTGCCTAAAATTGCTCCACTGGTAAGTAGCTACACTGGGATTTGAAACTTGTCAAACTGTAGCACTTGAGCTCTCAACCACAGCTCTATACTACACTCTCTAGAAGAACAGGAGAAGGTAGGGTTTTTTCTTAAGTGGGAGTGATCAACAAGTTTGAAGATGTCAAAAGACTTGACAAGAAGGCAGCCATGGATCAAATGTTTTCCGGGTGCTAGAGAGCACTAGCACACAGACTGTAGAGTATGAGGAAGGGACTCAGTGGTGAAGAAACTGAATGTAGACTTTGGGGCCAATAAATGGTATAGCAGAAGGAAATGGAAGTGAAATGAAGAGTATTCCCTAGTTCAGAGGAGTCCTGGGGTACACATAGATCAGGGACATTGAAGATGGAAGAAAGCATCACCACACAGCAGGTGGGGCTGTAGACTCCTAGGCCCTTGTGTAGGGTCTCTGTGCATACGTAACTCTCTGCAGACGTGAACCATCCAGGGACCTCACAGGATTGCGCTGCCATATCCTGACAATATCTGCTCATGTGTGTTAGGGATCTTTGTGGCTTGTGAAGCCACTGCTATAATCTTCATCTCATTTGAACGTAATACTAGCCTTTCAGCTATTTCCCCTTGAGGAATTTTAGCTTCAGAGAAGCTGGCTTGCTAACAGAGCCTGAATTGGAACTTACTTCTAGAACACAAAATTCTCAGTAAGGAGTGAGTTGCTGTAAAGGCAGCTCATCCTCCCTCTTTCTATCTGGGACTGCTACATAGGAAATCCCACCCTTTTGGAAGTGATCTTTTTAAAAGGCCCCTTTGGTTCCTCCTCAGGGGAAGAGTAGTGAATATTTGGTGATTGAGGGGAGGGGACTGAGCATGTATGGCTCAGCCCCTGCTGGGTTTCCTTTTGTCATCTGCCCACCCACCCACAGAGGAGTGCATTCTGGTGCTTCCTGCCTTGTTGTCAGCTTCCCAAGGCAGCTCTGTGTGCTCTAGAGCAAGGCTCATAGTCAGACTTGGTGCCTGGGTGCACATGTCTGATTCATAGATAGTGTAGGCTTATGACCCAACCTGCATCTCTATCCAGCTCTACTAGAACCAAAGCTGATTTGCCTCCAGATTCCTATGTCTCTTTCACAGGTGGTTCTAAGCTTGGGCTGGAAAGGGAAGGGGCAGGTATAGGAAAGCATCAGTTAGGTTTTCTGCCAGTCCCCCCAAAAAAGACTGGAATTCTTTCTTCTTTAGGAAAGCTAAATTCCAACAAAAGAACTGGTAAGATCTTACAGCTTTCTCGGCCCCAAGCCAAGAGGAGTTTTGTGCTTTGTGGTGGGGGGGGAGCGGAAGGGTGGATAATAGAAGCAGAGACTCCCTAAGAACTGTTTCTTCATCTGCAGGTGAATGAGCAAATTAAGCTGACGGTGCTGAGCCAGGACTCCATCATGGTCACCTTCACCTCCCTAAATGAAACAATAACACTCTCGGTATCAGCCAGCAATTGTCCCCATGGGGTAGCGCATGAAAAACGGGTAAGCCAAAGCAGACCAGGTCCACAGGCCTGACCCCAGCATGTCTCAATGTGGGTTGCCAGTCCATATCTCAGTGCCTGTGCTCCTCTATCCCTCCACCCCCTTCCCCATGCAGGGCCCTACCTCTTTCTCTGACTAATGAATGGACTCCTATTCATCATTCACTGTCTGATGTTAGCACTACTTTCTCTGTGAAACTTCTATCAGTTAGGAGTCTTTCATTTGTGATAGTCTCCAAAGCAGATTAGCAAAGCATGGAGAGAAACTATATTGGCTCAGTAAATTGAAAAGTCTATCAGTAGGCAGCTGTAGGCATGGCTGGATCCAGACCCTCAAATGATTCCATCAGATCTTCCCATCTCTTGGCTCTGCTTTCCTCTTTATTGGCTTCATTCTCAGGGAGTTTCTCTCCTTATGGTGACAAGATGGTCATGGGCATCTCTGGGCTCGTTATTCTACCAGCTTTGTTCTTTCTAGGAGAAAAAGGGCTTCTCTTTCCTAAGTGCTCAAGTAGAAGTGCCAACACCAACGTTGCTGCCTCTGCCTGAAGTGGCCACCGTGGCCAGGAGCACAGGTTGCTCTCACAGGGCAGGCTTGAGTATCACGTCCATCCTGAGAACCGAAGGGCATGATCAGTCCAGGTATACCACCTGGGTGACGGATGGGGCAGGAACATCATGGTGCTGTTACCAGAAGAGGGAGAGATGATACTGGAAAGAATAACTACCAATGTGTGTTGATGACCCTCTCCACCACCCCCTTTCCATCCCAAGGAGAGTCCGCCTCTCCCTCTGCTCAACCCTCCCAGCCATGACTCATCTCTATTCTAGCACTCCTTTATTTATAAACCTATCTTCTCTACCAGACTGAGAATTTCCTGTCATTCCTACTAATGTCTTTCTCCAGGGCTCCAGAACAGGACTGCTTCAAATTAAGTATTTACTAAATGTTTGTTGGGTGGGTAAGAAAACAGTGGAGACTGGAAGCCCAGGTCTTCTATTTGCTGGGTCTTTATGGATCCTACTGTGTTCCTGATCCCGAGTCAACATCATGGAGAGAGATAGAGAGGATGGATCCCCAATCCTTGAGGGGTTACTGGTCTAGTTGAGAACACTTGACATATACCATGAGACTGGGGTAACCAAGGGTTCATTGATGGAGCAAGCCACTTGCATTGCAAACAGGGTGCTTTGCTGGGATTAGTTCACTGGGGAAGACTCCTTGGAATGGGAGCAGAGGGACCCACACCTTCCAGTTTCTGCGGGCTCAGTCCCGGTTTATACCTGCCAGCCTGGAGGAATTATTTTTTTTTTGAAGATTTTATTTATTTATTTGACAGAGAGAGACACAGTGAGAGAGGGAACACAAGTAGAGGGAGTGAGAGGAGAAGCAGGCTTCCCACTGAGCAGGAGCCCGATGTGGGGCTTGATCCCAGGACCCTGGGATCATGACCTGAGCTGAAGCCAGACGCTTAAGGACTGAGCCACCCAGGCACCCCCAGCCTGGAGAAATTATTAATAGCATCTTATTTCACTCTCAAAAGTGTCCTGGTTTGGATGTTCATTTATATGATCATCCAGAGGGCAAGTGCACCCTCCGCATGTTCCTGTCTGGGGCTGAGCAAGGCTGTTGTGCTGCAGGGGCATTTGCCACCAACATGCCACAGGCTCATAGACTCACAGAGCTGACAGAGCCCATTAGGAGCAGCCAGCCCAATGTTCTCACTTTACATGGGGACATGGAGGCAGGCATTTGTGAGGGACCCATGCTATATGAACAAGACACAGAGAACACCTGTGTTTCTCTGGGAGGAGAGCATTGCACCTGTTTTCCCACCACCTTTTCATTTGAGCAGCATTTCAATTTCATTAATTCATTAAATAATTCAATAAACATTGATTAGCACTTGCAGTGTGCCAACTTGGCTGCTGGGATGTAGAAATGGAAGAAATCTCACTCCCTCTAGTCTCTAAAATACCTTCCATCTAATGGAAGGGGGCAAAAGCATCAACACCAGTTGTAATCCAGCTGGATTGGTACAGTGTGCCAGGGAGAGGGGCACCATGGAAGCTGCTGGGGTACCAGGAGAGAGTGTTCGTTAAAGGGGCCCCATAGGAGCACCCAGGAAACTCAGATGCCTGTGACTTCAGGCTGCACTGATTACTTCAAAGAGCAGAAGAACCCCGGCTTTTGATCCATTTGGGCTAAGATGATGATCATGCTTATTGATGAGTCCACCCTGCCCATTTGGTTCCATTTTATTACTCTACTCTAAAAATCACTTTTTTGTGTTATATGACTAAGTACACATGATGCATGAGGTCCTATGTCTCTATTTCTTAAAAACCTTTTTAGACTGTGTTTAAAAAATGTGAGCAAGCTTTTCTTACCAAAGGTGATAGATATTAGAGAATTGTTCTTTCCCATAAAATGGTAGTGATGCTTCGTTTTCCTAACAACCTCTTGTTTGGTAGTCACTGGAATCTGGATCACTGCTAAGAACCAGGATGTAAGCAATCAAAGACCCCCATGAACAGCCAAGAGAGGTCACTCTCTGTCCATGTACCAAACATGCCCTCTGGGCCTAGGAAAGCCCCTTAATAATTCAAGTCTTATTTTATCTTACCTGAATGCAATCTTAGAAGTGAGAACTAGAAGTCCAGAGCTGTGCTGTCCAATATGGTAGCCACAAGTCACAAGTGGCTACTGAGCACTTGTAATGTGACAAGTCTAAATGGAGTTTGGCCAAAAGAGAAAATACGCATTGCATTTCAAAAACTTAACATGAAAAGAAAATGTAAAATTTCTCATGAATAGTTTGATTCCATGTTAAAATAATCATTTTTTTGATATATTGGGTTAGATAAATATGTTGCTAGAATTAACTTCACCTTTAAGAGCTTTTTCATGTGGCTACAGGAACGTTTACAACCACATGTGTAGCTTGTGTTTTATTCCTAGTGGACCGTGTGGGTCTAGAAGGTGGTATCTTCATCAGGGAAGCTCACAGAGGCAGTTTGACAGTGTGGTAGAAAGCAGGAAAGTTATTTAAAAGGACATCATAATTCAAAAAGTGTAACTGTCTCGGGGACATATAGCATAGGGCTAAGCAAACCGGTACATTAAAACAGCTTCTGGAAACAGTGCTGGGTTCTAGTCAGTAGTCATTGATGCTGACCCAGAAGACTGACTTGCCGTAGAAACGTCAAGGTCATAACCCCTTCTGTTTGAGATAACAGATTTCAGACTAGATAAACAACAGCAAATGAGGAACTATCGGATTTATCGTAGGGAACATGATTTCCAAATGTTGACTTCAGCTGCCAGGTTAAGCATCTTGGAATACTTTGACATGAAATCTGGAGGCCCAGAAAATTGGCTCATGTTCAATTCCTGGACTGTCAGAGCTGCAAGGGGCCCCTGAGAAGACTTGCTGATGTGCAGGCTGGCCTAGGCTAGGAAAAGGCCATAGAGCCTTGGGCTGTTCCCTTCCATTTCTGGGCCTCAGTGTCCCCATCTGTATAGTGATATGTAAGGGCCTGCCCAGCTTCCACACTCTCCCACCTGGGACTTTTACAGTCCGTTCAACTTCTTCCTATGTCTGTGTGTTTGGGGTTGGTTATCGCTCATCAGCAAAATCCATGGCAGCCTAGAAAATCTGAGGGTGGGAGGTAGGGTGGCCTCGTCCCACTAAGTTCCCATCACTGAGAAGCTTGTTAAATGGCTTCCCCAGACACGCATCACCTTGGAAGGAGCCACCTATCAGAGCGACGAGCAGAACAGCAGTCCCAGCTTTTATGGCCCTGCAGCCAGGCTCCTCACTAAATATTTCTATCGAGGCTGCACTTTGAAAGTGAGGCAACACCTCAATTTAAATGCTTTATTAGCCCAGAGCGCCACCTCAAATCCTTTTTGGAAGCAGGCTGGGTATAAATTACAAATAAATAAATAAAATTAGCCTAGAAGCAGCAGCTGAGGCCAAAAACCAGAAGGATGGTTGAGGCTTTGCTGTTAATTGGGTGCATCCTTTATGGAAGTCCTGCCTGCAGGGTAAAGAAGGACACATAGAGTGACCATCATTCTTCAGAAAATCTGTCCACTATCCATCCCATTCTCTCTACCTGAGGCTTCAATTCCACAGAAATTGGGCTGATGTGCAGGAATTCACTGAGCAGAGGGGGAGAGAGGTGTGTACCAGCAGAGGGGACGACACCTCCTCCAAACCAGAGCAAGGCCTAGTTGTTGGTGGGTTGGGCTAACTGGCTTCTCTCCTCCTTGGCCTTTCCCCAGCTACTGACCCGCATGGATGACAAAATATTTAAGATGAACCGAGCTTTGGCAGAGATCAAGAAGCGGTTTAAAAAGACAGTGTCACAATTTATGAATTCTGTCTTGCTGGCAGCAGGTAAGGGGCAGAAAAGTAGGGGGTGCCTATCTGATAACTTCCTAAATCTTGGGTCACCTGCAAGGCATCTCTGAGGACAGCTCTTTACCACCCAGGGAGATGGGCGGGCAGGGTGACTTCCGCATTGGTAGATGGGTGATAAGACTTGGGCCTCTGAAGCAAAGGTACTTTCTCAGGGCCATGTCACGAGTAATGGAGGCCTTCACCACCTTCAGTTTCTGAGTGCCTTCCCGTGTGTCCTCAGTGTCTCCTGTGGTTGTTTTATTTTCCTGGGCCTCCCATTGTTGTTCTGTAACTCTGACCTACTCCTCCATCTGGTTCACCTTTCAGCTCTATCTCCCATATTGTCCATCCATCTGTAGATCCTGTTCCTCTCCTTGTGGACAATCTCAATAGAAGAGAAAAAAGCAGCCAGCTCACCAGGCTGTCCCTGTTAGGCCACAGGGCTCCCCCTGGGGCCAGCCTGGTGACCTCAGGACCCCTCCCACATAGAGGCTCTCCTGCTGATGGGCCTGGAGACAAAGGAACAGTGACTTCCATTCTGTGCCACCCCCTGGCTGGTTCCCAGGGGGCTGTGCTCCAAGGAGTTTCTCCTCATCCCTAAAGACTCAGTTCAACTGTATCCCTCCTCCAGAAAGCCTTCCCTGATTTCCCCAGCAGAATGAGTCTCATACTCCTCTGGGTTCCCACAGCACATACAAAATGTACTCTAATTATAAATCTTAACCTAGCATTGTGAATATTTCTTTGTTTGCCCATCCCCCCGTACCCTGGCTTGGAGTTCTCAGAGGCAGAGAACCCTGTTTGGGTCATCAGTATATTCCCAGCATCCAAGAAATGTTTGATAGGTGAATGAAGGAATGAAGGTCCTGGGCCTCAGAAGTTTTCAAGTCTAGTAGGGAAACTAAAACAAGAACACAAATAAATACAACAAAGAAAGTGATGGAAATTACTTAACTCCAGAGATATAGGGAACAGCATTCTCAGGGAAGAGAACAGTGTGGATGCATTGTGTACCCTGCCTCTATGAGTACAATGGATGACGCAGACCTGAATGAAACATGGGCTCCTTGGCAGAAGAGGGATCTCAGCTGGGTCTTGACAAATGAATAGAAATGAGATTGATTTGTTCTTACATTCAGCCAGCATTTACCGATCCACTAACTGTACTAGGGTTGGAGCTCTGTGCCGGACAGCAGAGGGGAGGCAGCCTGGCGGGAGAATGTGCAAGAGTGGAGGAGTGGCGTGGAAGATGAGCTGAAGGGCTGCTGATATGCAGAGCCCCACAGCAGGGCAGGGAAGGCTGGGCCACGAGGGAGAGTGACAGCTGTGTCTTCTGTTAACAGGCCTGTTCACCATAGAATACCCGGTTAAGGAAGAGGCAGAAATCAGTCGAGCCAAGGTAAAATTGAGTCCCTATCTCGAGCGGAGCACCAAGCCAAGTTTATACTCAGGAGAAGCCCTCTTATTACGATCTCAGTCAGCCCGACCTGAATCCTCAATTGGAGAGTCTTCGAGGGAAGAGCCTGGGTCTGTTTCTATAAGCCCCACTCGGAAGAAGAGCATCAAGATCCAAGCCAAAGCCGTGGTCACACCCAGGTGGGCTTGGGCCTTCATTTCTTCTGGCCTCCATGTGTCAGACATGGTGATGGGCAGTAGGCTCACAATGGAGAACAAAAGAGATGAAGCCCCTCCCTCTTAGAGCTGAAATGTTAGGGGCGGGAGAAGGTAGACAATTAACACATGAAGGAATGAAGTCATTTTAGGTAGTGATAAGGTCTAGGAAGAAAGTAAATCAGAGTCATGGGTTAAAGCAGGAGTTAGCAAACTAGGACCATTCACCAAATCTGGCCCCCCTGCCTGCCTTTTTATGAGTGAGCTAAGTAAAGAGTTTTTACCTTTTGAAGTGCTTGGGGGGAAAGGATCAAAAGAAGAATATTTTATGACATGTGCAATGATATAAAATTTAAATGTCAGATCCGTAAGTAAGGTTTTATTGGAACAGCCACGCCCACTCATTTACATATTGTCCATAGCTGCTTTCCTGCTAAGACAGAAATGTTGAGTAATTATGACTGAGACCATCTGGCCTGCAAAAACTAGAATATTTACTATCTGGCGCTGTATAGAAAATGTTGACTACTGCCAGGGGTGGATAGTGACTGGGAAGTGGGCTGGGAGGTGCTAAATGAGATAGCCAGTCAGGGAAGGCACTTCTGAGGAGGTGATATTTAAATGAGGACCCAGGATGAAAGATAAGAAATAGGCAGCCACAGAGAAGGACACAGGGAAGGAACAACAGGCAGAGGGTAGAGCAAGCAGAGACCTGTGACAAGAACATACCACCATGCTGGTCTGTGTGAGGGAAAGAAAGACCAGTGCAGAGCATGGTGATGAAGAGGTGACATGGCTGTGAACTGAGGACAGAGAGATAGGCAGGAGCCAGATCAGGTGGCCTTGTTAGTGTTGTAGGAAGCCATCCCATAACTTTAAGACAGGAAGTGGTATCATCTGATTCATGGGGTTTTTTAACTTTTTTTAAAAAAATAAAATAAAAATATGTATCTTTTATATTTTTCTATTTCAATTTTATATAATATTAATTAATTATATAAATTTTAATATATTAAAAGGCTTGGGGGAAAAGCATTTTGAGGGCCTCATTAAAGTATTTTAATATAGTATTAGTATAATATTTCTATATAAAAATACAGAAAAATGAACAAATCCTAAGGGTATGGTCAATGCATATCACAAAGTGAACACACCTTATAACCAAACCAAGGAATAGAACATTACCAGCTCCTTAGAAGTGCCCTCTTGTCCTTGCCCTCCCAAGCCTTCTTCCTCAAAGGGAGGAGTTCTAGCTTCATACATTTGTGGGGTTTTTTAAAAAACTTTATTGAAATGGAACTATTCAGTATGTATTCTTTGGCATCTAGCCTCTTTTTCTCAACATTATAATCATGAGTTGTTGCGTATAGCAGTAGTTTTTTCATTCTCATTGCTGTATGATGATGTATTATTTGAATACACTACAAATTATGCATTCTAATGTTAATGGATATTTGGGTTGCTTACAGTTTTGGTAATGACAAACTGTGCTAGTGTTAGCATATGTCCTTATTTATGGTGGGTGGAGCCCGGTGTGGTGCTCAATCCCAGGACCCAAGATCATGACCTGAGTCGAAATCAAGAGTTGGATACTCAACCGACTGAGCCTCCCAGGAGCCCCTATAAATTATGTTTTTAATTTAATTTTTCTATTTGTTGCTGGTTATAGAAAGTCATTTGATTATATCTCAATTTAAATTTATTTTTAATTTACTTACAGTAAACTTTACTCTTTTTGGTGTAAAAGTCTGTGAGTTTTGGTAAATGCAGAGTTGTGTAACCACCACCATAGCCAAGACACAGAATGGTTTTATCACCTCCCACCGGCCCACCCCCAAATTCCTTCATGTGGCCCCTCTGTAGTCAAACTCTTCACTCACCCTTAATCTCTAGCAACCACTGACCTGTTCTTTGTAGCTATAGTTTTGCATTTTCTAAAATGTCATATAAATCGGATTATACTCTGTATAGCCTTTTGAGTCTAGCTTCTTTCACTTAGCATAATGCATGCAAGATTTATCCATGTTGTGGCATATATCACCAGTTCATTTATTCTTATTGCTGAGTAGTATTCTCTTTCAGGGAGCCCCAACACTATCCCCACATTCAGAGATTTACCAGGACTCATGGGATTCAGCATATAGTTGCATGAATGTATGAGTTTTATTACAGTGAAAGGATATGTGATATCCTCTCTTCTATTTCTGATGGTAATTTGGGTCTTTTCTTTTATGTTGGTCAGTCTGGCTATAGTTTCATCAATTTTATTAATCTTTTCAAAGAATCAGCTTTTGGTTTCATTGATTTTTTTCTATTGTTATTCTGTTTTCAGTTCCATTTTTTCTGCCATTTACTTTTATCTTCCTTTTGCTTGTTTTGTGTATAAATTGCTTTTTACTAGTTTCTAAATTGTAAGCTTAGATTATTAGGCCTTATTTTCTAATATGCATTTAATTCTGCAAACTTCCTTTTAAGCATATTTTGCCTGCATTCCATAAATTTTGAAATGATGGATTTTAATTTTTATTCCATTTAAAATATTTCCTAATTTTCCTGTGATTCTTTGGCCCATGGGTTATTTAGAAATTCAATCTCTAATTTCCAAATGTTTGAGGATTTTCTAGATATCTCTTTGTTATTGATTTTTAGTTTACTTCTGATATAGTCTGAGAACATATTTTGTATGATTTCTATTCTTTTAAGTTTGTTAAGGTTTGTTTTATGACCCCAGAATGTGGTCCATCTTGGTAAGTGCTACATGTGCCCTTGAAAAGAACTGTATTCTGCTCTTGATGGGTGGAGTCTTCCGCAAATCTTTCAATAGAAGATCATGGACAAGTGTCAATGAGGTCCAGTGATAGTGCTGTTTAGTTCTTCTGTATCCTTGCTGATTTTCTGTCTTCTTGTTCTGTTGGTTACTGAGAATAGAGTGTTGATGTCTCCAAGTATGATTGTGGATTTATTTCACCTAAGTTTCTTAAAATATGTATAACTGTTGAAAGCAAAAATTATAACATTTTTGAGGTTTTTCAAAATATGTCTTCAATATCTTAAAATTTTATCATATTTTTGCTTCATCAATCTTGGAGCTATGTTGTTAGGTATAGCACATTTGGCTCTTTTATCATTATGTAATGTCCTCTTGATACCTGGTAATTTTTCTTGTTCTGAAGTCCACTCCGTATAATAATAATACACTCACTTCAGATTTCTTTTGATTAGTATTTGCTTAGCATAACTTTTCCATTCTGTTACTTTTAATCTATCTGTATCATTATGTTTAAAGTACGTTTCTTGTGAATAGCATATAGTTAGGTCTTGTATTTTTATCCAACATGACGATCTTTTAATTGGTGTGATTAGACCATTTACATTTTTTTTTCGTAAAGAAACATCATTTACTCATATATCTGAGATGTGAAACAAATTAAGAGATACATTTTGCCAACTCACCAAAGACAGGCCATATAAGACAAAGAGTGTGAATATCACCATGAAGCCAACAATTACTACAATTTGGATAGATGTTATGATCAGAGCCATAAAAATCTACAGGATAAATATGAAGCTAGCATACATTAATCCCCAGGAGAGCCTATGGTAGAAACAAAGTTTTACTTCAGAATTAGACCATTTACATTTAATATCATTATTGATATAGTTAGATTTAAGTCTACTATTTTATTATTTTTCTGTTTGTATCCTGTTTTTGTTTTTTGTTTTGTTTTGTTTTTGCTCCTCTCTTCTCTCCCGCTTTCTTTTGAATTGCTTGAATATTTTTATTTTTATTTATTTATTTATTTTAAAGATTTTATTTAGGTAGAGTGAGAAACAGCAAAAGCAGGGTAGAGGGAGAGGGAGAAGCAGACTTCCGCTGAGCAAGGAGCCCAATGTGGGGCTTGATCCCAGGACCCGGAGATCATGCCCCGAGCCAAAGGCAGACACTTAACCGATTGAGCCACCCAGGCACCCCTGCTTGAATATTTTTAGTATTCCATTTTAATTTGTCTATTGGCTTTTTAGTATATCTCTTTGTTTTTTAATTTTTCTTTTAGTGTTTGCTTTAGGATTTACATCCTATATGACTTACCTTAAACAGCCTATTTAGGTTTAATATTGCCACTTTAAGGGAAATGTAGTAACCTTACAACCATATATTATGCCTCTTTAGTCTCCCACCATTGTAGTATGGTTGTCAAATGTATTACATCTACATATATTGAAACCCCTTAACAATGTTATAATCTTTGTTTCAACAGTCATAAATTTTAAAGAACTTAAGAAAAATAGTTTATTATATTTACTCAGATATTTATAATTTCTGTTGCCCTTCTTTAATTTATGAAGTTCTGAGTTTCCCTCTGAGATCATTCTCTTTCAGCCTGATGAATTTCTTCTAGCATTTCTTTTAGAGTAAGCCTCTTGGTGATAATTCTTTTTTAATTTTCCTTCACTTGATCACATCCTCATTTTGCCTTAATTACTGAAGGATATTTTCACCAGATATAAAATTCTGGTTCAACAGCATTCTAAGTATATTTAGTCAAATATTTATAATTTTCTTCTTTCAGTACCTTAAAGGTATTCTCCTGTTTCATAATCTCCACAGTTTCTGATGAGAAATCCACAGTCATTTAAATTGTTGTTCCTCCATACGTACTGTGCCCATGCCCTTGCTGCCACTGCTATAGCAGTGCAGTTCTGCTGCTGAAACTGGCCTTGTGGCAGAGCCAGGAGAGGAAAAAGAAGACATAAAGAGAGAATTCTCTTCACACTCCCAGAATCACAGGGATCTCATTTCTTCTTTCTTTGGCTAGAAAAAAGATCTTTCCTCAGGGTTTTTATTAACCAGTTCCACTGTTCCCTTCAGATTCAGTTCACCTTGATTGCATTTCAAATATTCAACCAATTTTGTAGTCCCAACATAAATCTAACTTGGTTTTGATATATCCCCTTTTTATATATTGCTAGATTTGGTTTGCTAG